TGAAATTCATTGGTGATAGGTTAAGAAGGTGGGGGTGGGGGGTGGCAAGGGGTTCCCTGGGATTGGATAAAAAGTAAAATGATGGACACATACTTAGATGCATGCAGGAACAATTAACATGATAATGAAAGAATTTGTGGTATATGTCTTGGTGCCCACCACATTTGGTTGTGGCCCACGGGCTCCAGAAAAAGGGAAGTTACAAGTTACCAGACATTTCAAGGGTATGTTATCATAGATGCAAAAAGACAGATAGGCTCAGTTAAGGTAAAAATTGACCTTGTCAGTGAAGATACTGGTTTAGGATGTAACTGCCCACCATAACTGAGTTTAGTTCAAGTTTAATTTCAGACCACCCTTTGTGGTTACTTTAGGTCTCTGAGTTTGCAAGACCACCATACAGGCCTCCCCTGAGCCTGTCAGGTCAGCATTTGGACCCTTTTGTACACAATGCACAGGTAAAAGATGACTTCTCTCCTTAAATCAAAGTACTGACTCGGGAGCCCTCAGACCCTGGCCTGTTCCCCGCTCCAACAGCAGGAGCCCACGAGGGGGCCTAGAGGACTCCAGAGGCAGGGCGCGGAGGGTGCCAGCCAGATGGAAGAGGAGGAAAAAGGGGGTGCTGGGGGTCAGGAGGGAGAGGAGCGAGACTGGGCGGCTGCGAGGCAGAACGGAATGGAGGATCCCAAGATCGGGCGGCGGGGAGGTGTGGGCTGCGGGGGGCCAGGGGCGGCACCGGAGAGACTCCGCAGGTTCTGGACCTGGCGAGGGAGGTGCTGGCTGGGGGACATAGTGGAGGGCTGGGGGAACCCTGAGCAGAATGTTGGGGCTCAGCGGCGGGTGTTGGGGTTCAGCGGCAGTTGTTGGGTTCTGCGGGGGTTGTTGTGTGTCAGAAGGGGTGCAGAGGTCAGCAGGCACAGGTGGAGATTTGCGGGCTTAAGGTCCGGAGGAAGGGGCCCTGGGGTGGCGGAGGACGGGGGGGGGGGGGGGTCAGAGGCACCGGAGCGGGGTCCGGAGGCAGATCGCACCTGCGGGCGAGGCAGGGTGCCCCCTAGACCGGGCGAGCGCGTGGCACCGCTCGGCGGGTGGTAGTCCTCCGGCGCCGCGTACAGCTCGTCCACCGGGGGCCCAGCGCCGGCGCCGGAGGCCGGGGTTCGGGCCGGGGCGACTTGGAGACTGGAGTCCGGGCGGTGGCTGCCTCCTCCTCCTGCTGCGGCTTCCGGAGTCGCGGAGGGTGACTGCGCTGGTGGACTCGGCGCGCCCGCCGCCCTCCCTCTCGGGGATGCCGGCTGGACAGGACAGGCGGGCAGCCGCCCGCTCCCTTTATGGGATCCCCTGGCGGCCGGGGCTGGGGAGCGGGAACGGCCTCCCGGCGCGCCCGGAGCCCCGCCCATGACTCCCGGAGCCCCGCCCACGGCGCCCTAAGTCCCGCCCACAGCACCCGGAGCCCCGCCCACGGCGCCTGGAGCTCGGCCGGGACCTGAGCGCTCATTGGGCAAGGTGACCAGACGTCCCGCTTTTGGCGGGACAGCCCCGATTTTTCATAATGTGTCCCGCGTCTCGCGGCGTTTTAAAAAAGTCCCGATTTTTCCAAAATTTTTAAAACGACGCGGGACACATTGTGAAAAACCGGGGCTGCGAGACTTCTGGTCACCTTATCAATGGGGGAAAGCCTAGCAGCCGGGCAGAGGGGTGGGAAGCCGGGCACCCCTGGGCGGGTCAGGAGTTTTGTGAAGGGGCTGGTGTGAGAGATTTGAAACTTGGCAGGTGGCCCGCTGGCGTGGCTCAGAGGTTGCGCGTGGACCAAAAACCAGGAGGCCACACACGGTTCAACGTCGGGGTTGTGGATTCGATCAGTTTTGTCAATTGACTCGATAATGTTCTTTATAGCATTTCTTTTTCTTCCTCCACTATAGGAACACATGTAGGTTCAAGTATCTCATTTAGTTGTCACATCTCTTTAGTCTCCTTCTATCTGGAGTATTTTGCAGCCTTTCTTTGTCATTTATGACACTTTGGAAGGTACAATCATTTTTTGTGTGTGTGTTTAATAGAAAGTTCTTCATTTCGGGGGTTTTCTGATGTTTCTTCATGGTTAGATTATGCACGCCAGCTTGAATACTATTTAAGAGAGATAGGGAGAAGGAGAGAATCACTGATTGGCTGCCTCGTGCATGCGCCCTACTGGGGGGGGGGGGGTTTGAGCCCGCAACCTGGGCACGTGCCCGAACTGGGAATCAAACTGTGACATTCTGACTCAATTAAGTCAGGTTTGGTGATTTTGTAGAAGGAACCACAGGACTCAGTACATAGTTGTATTTATGGCTAAGCGTTGTTAGAGGGAAAGGATACAGAGCAAAACAGGCCTGGGGCAAAGTCCAGAGGAAACCAGGCCCAGGCTTCACAGTCCTCTCCTAGTGGAATCACCTCCAAGTTCAATCCCTCCAATGAGGTGTGACAGCATAAGTTAAGTGTTTTCTAGTGAAGCTCGTTAGAGACTCGGTGCCAACGTTTACATTGGGGTTGGTCATATGTAAAATCCTCTGCCCAGCATGTGCCAAAATTCTAGGCTCCCAGGAGTAAAGGCAGTGTAGAGCCCATTGTAGCCATGGTTTAGGCACCGTGTGCCACCCTGGTCACTTAGAGAAAGTTTCAGATCAGTGTAGGGGCCTGTTTACCAGTCAGGTCCCCAGACACCACCATCTCGGGGCCACCCCTTGCCAGCAGTGGGCTTTCTAAGGAGAGCAGTCTCAGGCCTCTGTTAACTCTCTTTTGCCCAGTCTCAGAGCTCAGCTTACATGTCACTGCATCTCTGTGAAGTCTCTTTCCCCTTAGGCAGGATCCGTTTCTTCACTCATTGAATGGCTATTTGCTCTAGGCACTGGGTATACAGATGGCACAGGACTCTGAATGGCGGCTTTGCATTGTGCTGTTGTTATGTGTAGGCTACCAGGTGGGAAGCACTTCACAGACGGTTACTTTTATCTTTCACTCAGCACAGAGTCTGGCATGCTTCATCCCCTTTGCATAATAGTGTATAGTTTACAAAGATTTACAGAGAATTCTACGAAGAACCTTGAGTCAAATAACAACTCTCAGAAGATTAACTTCCTCAGAGTCACAGCTAGTGAAGGGCAGAACTGTGCCTATAGATTCCTTATATTTTTTCTAGCACGTTAGTTGGTTTTTGACTGAGTTCTTCAAAGTCCTAGAATGTGTACAGGACTTCAGATGGCACTCAGGTCAGGAAGGAGGCCCAGCTCCCACCTGTATCACATAGAGCAGCTTCACTCTTATCTGGTACATAAGGGCATTCTGCGTAATGCTTTCTTTGAGGAGGAAAGGATTCTGCTGGCATAAAATGTTTGAAAAACACAGCATTGTTTTATTGCCTCTGTTGAATGAATCCTTTGGTAAACGAGAAAGTTCTAATTTAAGTCAGCTTTAAAATCCGTGCCTCTAATGGGAGTGGTGGACTAGGACATATTAATCATTGATCATTTCAGTGGTAGTAAATTGTTTTATAAAACCTTGGGGTCTATCTCATGTGGATATAATATATTCTGCAAGATGCCTCGTAAGTTCTGCCTAGTTTGCTTCAGTGATCATAAGAGCATTTATGGTGTTTTATTGTGATAAAAATCACACAAGGAATTCATTAGGAACAGCCAAATCCCATTTTTTAAATGTTAATCAACCATAATATCTAATGGAAAGAAGCCAGGCATAGCAACTTCAGAATATCTCAAGGAAACAATGTTAGCATCGTTAAATGCATTCTCATAATGATCCAAACAGTTCTGTTATCCCAGCACAGCTCAGTGAATATAAATCTAAAGCATTGTGCCATTAAGAGACCGGGAAGTTAAGTGGTTATTACATCTGTAGTCTTGGATGTAGTAGATAGTTGGAGAACTTCTTATCTATTAAATTAAGGATGAGTGAGCTTTCCTTGTTGACTTTTGATATCTGGGCCCTTAAATGGAATGACAGAAGTGTATTTGGAGATAAAGGGAACTTTCTAAAGTAAAGAAGTTTGGTTTTAATTAATTGTTCAATTATATTTTTGAATAAAGGTAACCAAAGAGGTTAGAGCTCAGCCACATTCTAACCAGGTAGGGCCATCGGTCTGAGGGAAGTTGTGCTAATGCAGTGAGAGATTACAATGGGGACTTCGCACATAGAGAAATTGCAAAGGCCAAGAATGTGCTGCAGAGCTGAAAAGTAGAAGCGAGAAAATAAAATTACATGCAATTGGAATACATTGTATGACTTTGCCTAAGCTTCAGTTATGAAAAATCAGACGCTTCAGCATGTTTAAAGTGTCAATTCCCTGCGACAGATTTTTGTATTCTTTACTGTGGTCATTAAGTGAGAGCATTAACAGGTATTTCTATTGACTTAGTTTATTCATCGATTTGGCAAGCATTTGAATCTCCCAGGCACCATGTTAGATGCAGCTTTAAAAACATCAAGAAAATGTTTTATTCTCTTCCCTCTCACATTTGAAAAAATCAAATTAAAAAAATATATATTTTATTGATTTTTCACAGAGAGGAAGAGAGAGGGATTGAAAGCTAGAAACATTGATGAGAGAGAAACATCGATCAGCTGCCTCCTGCACACCCCCCCGCTGGGGATGTGCCTGCAACCAGGATACATGCCCTTGACTGGAATCGAACCTGGGACCCTTAAGTCCGCAGGCCGATGCTCTATCCACTGAGCCAAATCTGTTTTGGCGAAAATAAAATTTTATTTTAGGAATATTTTGCTACATTAATGTGTACTACAGTCAAAATAAGGTGTTTTTTTGTTTTATTTATTTATTTATTTTTTTTTGTTCCAGCTAAAAGATAAAGTGAAAATTAACATTTTAGAAAGCTGAGTTCCCAGTTGTTGGAATTTAAAGTTTTAAATTATTTTCTGCAGGTTCCCCTTCCTTCCTGTACAGTGTTTTCAAAGTTCCCAGTCTTTAAGCGGAAGAATATTTCTCTTGCTCATATGATGGATTTTTCTCCAAGAAGTGAATATTTTGCTTTGGGGAATGAAAGGGCAGGGCCTACTGTAGAGGTAGGTATTATTTATGTGTAAAAGTCAGAAATATCTATAGTCTTCCTTTGAAAGTATGAAGAGATGCTAATAAATCTGTAATTTTTAACCAGTTACAATAAGTTATTAATGAATACATAGTAGAGTGTAGAGCTTGACAGCTCATCTCTATTATCTAACAAACCGTGCATTTTTCCACCATAAAACCATAACATGGCACTAGCAGATTTTTATATTTTGTTTTTGAGTAAGCTGTATTTTGAGAATGCCAAATCGAGGAAAAATAGCCACTTTAATAACATTGCCATTGTCTTGTGCCTTATGCGGATTTGGCAATTTGCTATTTACTCCACTAGATTTAAAAAAAAAAGAAAAAGCTTTCTTTTCCTGCAGCCGTAAGCTATAAATAAGGACGTTGACCACAAAGATGTCCAACAGTTGTGCTCTGTCCAGGGTCTTTTCTGCACTCAATACACTAGGCTGTGGAGCAGGAACACGTGCAATCTCATTGCATTGCTGCCAGGAGGTTTCGGTGACTGTTGGCTCTTCAGGGAGAACCGTGGAGCCGGAGACCGGCAACCGGTGACTTCAATGGCAACCCCGCCGCCTTGCTCCCTCGAGTTGGGAGTGGGTGCTGCACAGAAGCCTGTGTGTATGTTTGTATGCGTGGGGGAAGGTCTGTTTTCGAAATAAAATGAAATCTGGAGTGAAGAAAAGGAGGCATGTCAATTGATTTTGAGGATATCACTGCGGAAAGAGAATAGAGCAAACAGTACTATGGCTCCAAGTTCAACTTACTTTGAAAGGAAAATGGGATATACCAGAAAAGTTGATGTAGCCCATCATTCTCATTTCAGATCATTTTTGGTAACACTTTCAGTTTGGATGTTATAAAAGAATACAGAGTCTTGTTGCACGTAGAAATTCTCTTCCAAAGCTTTGGCCTATCATAACAGAAATTTTCTTTTAAGTAAACCAGAGTGTTGCTTTCTAGTGATAGCTTCTAACAAGTAGGATGGACTGACAACATTTCTATGGGGTATGGCTGGTCAGGTATTTCTTAGAACCTAATTTGATGTTTTAGGACAAACTTAAAGCTTTTATCTAAAATTTGAGGTATTAGCATTAGACTCCTCCAAAATGTCAGATTGAGAAGTCTTAGTCTAGCTGCCTGATGAGAATGATTGTGATTACCCCCCACTCTCTTTCTCCACTTAAAATATCCCTAAGTGTCCTTCTGTGATCTGGTTGGCAATACTCTGGGTCATCACAAAGTTGTTTAAATGATTTGTCCTTTACTCTTTCAGGTTGCATTGTTACTCGGACTTCTAAAGAGATCATTTGAAGTAAGAAAATCCTTTAAATTGCTTCTTTAGGTTTTAAGGTTCTGCTGTCAGTGGCAGAAGGACCACATTAGCTGATCTTTGTTTCTTTGCCGCTGTGTTGCTATATATTCATTTAGGGGAGTGGAATGGAAGGTAGATCAGGAAGAGCCTGGTTGGACTTGAATCTTCCTTGGGAATTTTTTTTTAATTAAAAAAAAGTATATATTTTTTATTGATTTCATAGAAACATCAATGATGACACTCATTGATCATCTGCCTTCTGCGTGCCCCACACTGGGGATTGAGCCTAAAACCCAGGTATGCGCCTTGACTGGGAATCGAACCGTGATCTCGGTTCATAAGTTGATGCTCAACCCCTGAGCCACACTGGCAGAGCGTCCTTGGGAATGTTTTAAACCCAAATCACAACAATCTGGTTCTTTTCTTCTGAGGTCAGCTCTCTAATGATGTAATTACTGAACATTTAATCCGCAAAGGAGAATAGACTGAGCAGTGAGAGATAAGTATCTTCAGATAAAATGAAAGCTTCCCTGAGCTTCAAATCCTCTTACTTTATGTTGTATTAGAGGACCAGTGTATGGATTTGTGCACTGGTGGGGTCCCTCGGCCAGGTCTGTGCAGGTCAGGCCAAGGGACCCCACTGGTGCAGGAATCTGTGCACTGGGCCTCTAGTATGCATATAAGGTCTTTTGTTAATCTCTTCCCCCCCTCCCTCTGAGATTCATCAGTCTGTTCCATGTTTCCATGCCTGTGTGTTGAGCATCTGTTCCCTGGTGGTCAGTGCACGTCATAGCTACCAGTTGAATGGTTGCTTAGGTTTTTATATATATAGATGTTTCTTTCTTTTCTTTAAAAAAAATATTTTATTGATTTTTCACAGAGAGGAAGAGAGAGGGATAGAGAGCTAGAAACATCGATGAGAGAGAATCATTGATCAGCTGCCTCCTGCACATCTCCCACTGGGGATGTGCCTGCAACCGAGGCACATGCCCTTGACCTGAATCAAACCTGGGACCCTTCAGTTCGCAGGTCGATGCTCTATCCACTGAGCCAAACTGGTTTTGGCTATAGATGTTTCTTGAGAGATTATTAAGTGCTTGCCCTGTAGCTAGCTAATAGTGGATTGTCACAGACCTAGTTAATGTCTGGTCATCAGTTTTGCTGCTCAGAATTTAAGGCAGTAGGACATGCTGCTTTGCCCTTTGAAATGAGACATGGTGGTAGTTTTGAGGCTGAGCGTTGCAGTGGGCCTATTCATTGTAATGGGCTGATTTGATCTTTAAGATTCATACATGTTGAAGAGAGACTGGAAGTGCATATAGATTTAAATAGAGGAAAGAATTTTTGAAAGTAGAATAATATTGAGCAAAACATTAGCTGGGGGCAAGGGAGAGGGAAGCACTCCAGCTATCTTGCCACTGAAAATTACATTGTTATTACAAGTTGTTTCTTTGTTTTTTTCATGTTTGTTGATGACCAGCAGTTACAAATCAGGTGTGTGATTTCTTCTGTTCTTTCCTCAGATTCAGTTGAGTCACAAGAGAAGCCCATCCTGGTAGATCTGAGAAACTTTCCAGAATGTGTGAAAATGTATGAATAACAATTTTTTGAGCCAGCTGTCCATATTTAAGTTAATAGAAATGTATAATAAATACATGACAACCTTTGTTTGTAAATAAATGTATGTGGGAGAGCAGGGGTGGGCTAGAAGGGGTCAAGGAAGTAAGAAAAGGAGATATATGTAATACTTTCAACAATAAAGATTTTAAAAAATGTATGTGGTTCTTCCCACCTACACGCAGATGCACTAACTTGGATGCATTTCTTTTAAGACCAAACCTGAGAAATTGGAAACACCTATCTGTAGCCAGAAGTCACATAGGCACTTAACCCTTATTAGTAAGTCCTCCTTTCCCAGGACAGATCTCTCCATGTTTCAAGGTAACAGCTAAAAGAGGCTCTGATCGGCTTGACATGAGAGCGATGAGACCTCATAGAATGTATTTCGAACTTTCAAGTCGTCCTGAAAATGAGTTATGGGAATGAAAAGTCTTTTCTGGACTCAGCACTTCAAGTGGTTGTGCTTGTTCATGGGAGAGGAGGCACATGGAGACCTGTTACAGTCCCCTTCCTGGAAATACTCATTACCCAGACTTACGTGTTCCCTTTGAGTTCCAAGGTTGACAATTGGTTCCATAATTCTTTAATTGTAATATAGCTTTGCTTTAGTCTAGTCCCTACATTCCTTAGAAAAAACTGACACCATACCATGTATTTATGAAGTATTGGTTGTAAGAAGTATCAAGTAGGTCTAAGAGCTTTCAACCCGCCTCCCTGCTAAAATGTGAAGTCAGGGGAGAGGGGGAAGTTTTTCCAGGGATAAAACCCGGATCTACCCAGGGAAGTAATAAATCCCACGTGACTGCATTCAGACAGAAAGGCCAGGGGCAGGTATCTTCAGTGTCTTAAGACCTTTTCAGTGTGTAGAGTAGCCCAGTCCGTGCGGATTGTGTTAACATACCCCAGCATCTTCCTAAAAGGAAATTTTCTGTTGAGATGGGCTATTGCTGGACCGTTGTGGAGACCCTTTCTCTTGTAACAACGGTTTTCAAAGTAGATACTAATCCTAACCCTTTCAGATTCCAGACTCCTGTTGGCTTGCTAATGTTATTTCTCTCTTGAGTCACTAGAGGACAGCATTGGATTATGAAATAATGGAAAGAAGGCTTTTTGTAGATTTTTACCACCTTGTCTTTAGCTTCAGCCAAACCATTTTTTTTCAGAAGTGGATACTAAGCCTTATATGTGTTTATTCTGCATATGGTTTTCAGAGGCTGGAAGACTTATAGAAAGTTATTCTAGAGAAAACGATGGAAGCGGAGTTTAAGTTTTTGTTTTTGTTTTTTAAAAAAAATATATTTTATTGATTTTGTACAGAGAGGAAGAGAGAGAGATAGAAACATCGATGAGAGAGAGTCATCGATCAGCTGCCTCCTGCACACCCACCACCGGGGATATGCCTGCAACCAAGGCACATGCCCTTGACTGGAATTGAACTCGGGACCCTCAGTCCCCAAGCCGACGCTCTATCCATTGAGCCAAACTGGTCTCGGCCGGAGTTTAAGTTTTAACTCTAACATCCTGGGTCATTTTTATAATCTCCTAGGGGCAGAGCCAAGTTCAATCTCCTGGAGAGATAAACGTGCTATTTGTTCTACAGAGAGAGATGCTGCCGATCCTGTATCTTATCTTTTAGTGCTTTTTTCCCCCCTTCACTTTCTGAGGGAGTTGGGAATTTGAGTTAGGTTTTTACTGCTTTTTTTTTTTTTTTGTAACCAGTGCTCAGTTAACTCTTCAAAGAGATGAGAACCACAACCACGAACTCCTTTACACAATTCTCTGTTCGCAGTGACTAAGTTAATATGAATGTAGCTCATCTCTCTCTCTCTCTCTCTCTCTCTCTCTCTCTCTCTCTCTCTCTCTCTCTCTCTCTCTCTGTGTGTGTGTGTGTGACTGCCTTGAGCTGTGAGGTGATATTTTGCCATCCAGAGCCACACAGGCTATCCTCGGGTTTATTTGGAGTGATGAATTGGCAAGTTGAAGTCTGGCATATCATACTCATTCCTCCTCCCATTCCCATTACTATTCATTAAACTAACGGATTATTAGTCTATGGACTTTCTTTGAACAAATTACAGGTGAGACGTCTCTTGGATTTTTGCGTGTGTGTTTCTGGTAAGGATATATAAGCCTTTCTAAGCCTGCACGGGGTCAGGTGACCTGCTGTAGGGTTTGTGACCAGCATTTTTACACTTGAGCTTGGGAATGGGGTGGAGGCAGGCAGATGCCTGTGAAAATGAAGTGCTTCCTTACACCTGCAGCCAGGTCTTAAGCTACTTGGGATGCCACTTGAATCCATTTCCAAATTCGTCACACACATCAAAGAGCTTCGTCTGTTCTATTATTTTTGTTGGAGGAAGTGGGGGCTGAGGTTAGAGGTGTGGGGAGGAGGCAGAATGGGGGGTTGGGACAGCATTTATGAGCCCCTGGGGCTGTACTTGTGCTGATATCGTGATATACGTTATCTCAGGAAATTCTCATTGTTCTTTCTCCCTTTTTATAGGGAAGTAAATCGCAGTTCAGAGAGGTTGAACATCCCAGTCTTAAAGTCATCATCCTTAGGAAGACGAGTGGTCCTCACAAAAGGACGTGTAAACCCTTTTTAACTTTATTTTTCAATTGCAGTTTACACTGCCATTTTGTGTTAGCTTTAGGTGTGTAGCATAGTGGTTAGATAGCCTTATGCTTTAGAAAGTGAGCTCTGTGGAAGTTCCCTGAGAAGTCAGCCACGTCTCTCCCCAATGCCTTTTTTCAAAAAAATATATTTTATTGATTTTTTACAGAGAGGAGGGGAAAGGGATAGAGAGTTAGAAACTTCGATTAGCTGTCTCCTGCACATCTCCTACTGGGGATGTGCCCGCAACCAAGGTACATGCCCTTGACCGGAATTGAACCTGGGACTCTTCAGTCCGCAGGCCAGCCCTCTATCCACCAAGCCAAACAGGTTAGGACCCTCCTTACCTTTCTTTTTGTGCCTTTCAAATTCTGCACATCTAGTAAGCCTGAGATGCACTTCTGTGATAGGGTTTATATCCTTTGTTGCATTGTTTGCTTATACTGTCTTTCCATGTAAGATTGGAAGTGGCTTTCTAAAACACAGTAAAAAGGGATAATATCTGTGAACCAGGGCCTGGGGAAAATGGGAAATTAGAACCCAGATACGTAGGCCATATACATGGTTGCTTCCCGCCCCCCCCCCCCCCCCGCCCCATCCCCCAGCAATACTCAAATAGAGTATTTGGAAAAATGTAGTTCTAGAAAGTGGAAGTCCTCTGTTCCCTCCTTCTCCATGGGATCTCTAGTAACAATTTGATGTATATCTTTTAGTAGTTTTCCCCCTCTCCCGTTGTTGTTGAGTCAATTATGTGTTCAGATGCAAGAAACAGAACTGAAAAATAGTGACTTAAATCATAAGGACATTTATTGCTTAAGAAGTCTAGAGGTAGCTGAGTGGCTTCACAATCCATTTGGTGGCTCAACAATGCATCTCCTCTGGTCTGTGTGTCTGCGGTTCTCTTTGCCGATGTTACAGATGGTTACAGATGGCTGCTGCACCTCCACTCCCACATCCTCACAAATCACGAGAGCATTTCTCACGGAAGGAAGAGGATGGGGAAAAACAGCTTCTTTCCTGTCAGGGATCAAGCCTAAACCAGGGAATGTGTCCTGTCCTGGAATCAAACCGGTGACTTTAGGTTCATGGGTTGATGCTCAACGACTGAGCCACGCCTGCAAAGCTTGGCTTTTTTTGTTCTGATCAAAGGAGAAAGTCTGTTCTAGGAGTCACCCTGCAGACTTACCCTCATGTTTCTTTGGCAAAAAGAACCAATTTTCCATAAAACCAATTACTCTTCATCCCAGGGGCCTGCTGGCCCTGAGCCCAAAGCTATCTGGCTGTTGCTCAAAAAAACTCTGGGCATTCTGTTTGCAGGAGGAAGTGGGGGTGGGGAGTGGCTGTGGTGAAAAACCAGCTGTGCTTACCACAGGTACATACGTGCATTAAGAAAAGTTACCTTGTCTTATTTTTTAACAGCAATGGATTGAAATTGTATTATTCTCCAACTCAGTATTTTCACATATCCACCAGATAAGGCAGTACATAGAGATCTATCTCATTCTTTGTTACTATTGCATAGTATGTGGTGGTTTCCTGTCTTTTACTATTTTTAAAATATTATTTATTTATTTATTTATTTATTTATTTATTTATTTATTTATTTTACAGAGAGGAAGAGAGAGGGATAGAGAGTCAGAAACATCGATGATAGAGAAACATCGATCAGCTGCCTCTTGCACACCCCCTACTGGGGTTGTGACTGCAACCAAGGCACATGCCCCTGACCGGAATTGAATCTGGAACCCTTCAGTCTGCAGGCTGATGCTATCCACTGAGCCAAACCGGTTTCGAGCTGTCTTTTACTATTATAGGGGATGTGGCCAATAACTTTCTTATACAGGTCTCTTTGTACACATGTGTATTTCTCTGGGGGAGTTATCTGAAAGCAGAATTGCTGGATATCCACAATGAAAAATTTTATTATAATACTTGATAAAAATTGTTCTTCAAAGAGGCCATGCCAGCTAAGCAGTGACAAAATGTCACCACTAGAAACCACTGTTTTTAACCTAATGAGAGAAAAATGATATCTATTACTTTTTAGTTGGTTGTACTCTGAGTTTTATTCCTTCCATTGAGAAAAGGACAACCAAAGTTATACGATTCACATTTTTCATAGAGAAGTGAATACTCATTCCCCTGGGAAAGCAGCCTCCCATCACCCTCCACTTCCCAACCTTGATAGGATTTGTTGACATTTTTTCTTTTCTTGCTAGTATTTTTTTCATCTTTGTACCTCCAGCATCTAGTTTAATGCTTGCTCCATATATGAGATACAAAATTTTATGAGCTTAAAAAAAATCTGACTTGCCCCACCAGCACGAGTCAGTGGTTGAGCGTTTACCTATGAGCCAGGGGGTCATGGTTTGATTCCTGGTCAGGGCACATGTCCAAGTTGGGGGTTTGATCCCCAGGGTGGGGCGTGCAGGAGGCAG